AGATGTGTATAAGAGACGACAATAACACGACACACACGACGTTATGACTCACCACCCCGACACACACGGCGTTTAGTCTCACCTCAACATGGTTGTTAAGCGCTGCGAGATGCAGGGCGGTGTATCCGTCATCTTTCTTCTCGTCCACAACCCACGGCCGCGTCACTTTGCTCAACAAGATCCGCATCGCGCTGCACACAATAATAAAATCATCCTTATTAATATTCATAACAATAACAAAATAACTAGCATACCATTATAATGACATGCTAATTTATTTATAATGCTAGCATACCATTATAATGCTTATGTTGATACAAAATAACAGCTTTGTCAAGCCAAACATTATAATACTCACGATAACTTTGATAAGCAGCAATCGCATACAATCACAATGATTATCATAATCATAATTTTACGCACTTCATACCTTTATAATGAGTATAATAACACTGATACAGAATTTAATTGGCATTTTAGGCATGAATTAAAGCTGGTTGAAATTCAGGAAAATATTTTGAAAAAAATCATAATTTATACACGATTACGATTTAAATGATGAGTTGATAACCCAGTGCAATGATCATTAAACCCACGACAGAAAACTTTATGTCGATAGAGTAAAATTATTTATAGTGACAAGACTTGTGATGTGAGTAATTATTTTTGATCGCTTTAAATATTTACCGTACTTCCTAAAGATAGTTACTTATTGGTGAGCCAATTTTCACATTTGAATTTGGCACGCATTCCTACAAGGAGCCCTTTTTTCTAGCAACTAATTCTCAATAAAATATGGTTCCCCTAGGTTCCCCTGGAAATAACTGCTGGAAATAAGGTTCCCCTTAGAATATTTTCACTGGGAACCTTATTTCTAACAGTTATTTCCAGGGGAACCTAGGGGAACCATATTCTATTGAGAATTAGTTGCTATAAAAAAAGGTTCCCAGTAGAAATACGTGCAATAAAATAGGTTCCCATAGGTTGCGTTGGAAATTACTGTTAGAAATAAGGTTCCCAGTGAAGATATTCTAGTGGGTATTTAGTTATAAGAAGAAGGAACATTGATCACGGAAATAACGCCGGGCAAATAAATATGAGAGCTCTTGAAATAATTATTTTAATCAACGGATTATGATGCGACCGGATAATAATGTTATAGAAAATAAAAGTAACTGAAAACATAATAAAACTTCCGAAAGTAATGACAATTTTCATGTATACGAATGCTTACCATGAAAACTCCAGGCAATCTCATTTTGTATGTCTTGAGTTTACTGATAAAATATATACTTCAAAGAATGTCTAGAGGAGACGAATCGAAGTAATATATTATTTTTAAAAACACAGATTTTTATAGCGTAAAACGATGCTTGCGCACATTCCTGCAGAGTTTAATGATTGATAAAATTGTAGTGTGCACAAGGATGAAGGAAACACGGAAACAAATTTGTTCATAAATGTGTTCATAGTTAAAGATATCTGCTCCTGCATCGTGCAGATATCCTAAACTTTATTATTATCTCAGACTTTATTAATATTCTAAATTTTACTAACATCACAGCAACTTCTCAATAAATATATGGAGGCTTCATCCGCGTAAACTCAGAAATTTCTGCACCAGTGACGTTAATATAATCCAAAATTATAAATTAATAGGCAGCTTTTGTGTGATAATTTGTTGTTCAGAAATGAAAAATTATTACGGAGTCCAAGGTTTCAGTTACAATTAGGAATACCTAGCAGCGTATCTAGAGAAACGAAAATTCGAACGCTTTTATGAAGATTGATAAATATTAACTGTTTTATGAAGATTGATAAATATTAACTGTTTTATGAAGATTAATTTATGTTAACTGATTTTTAACATGGATGGAAGAACGAGTATAAAGAAAGCATTCTAGAGCCGCGGATTCAACAATATGAAACATGTGTTGAATGAGTTCAACAATATGAAACATGTGTTGAATGAGTTCAACAATGATTCGACGTATCGCGGGAGGCGTGACAGCGCGTCTATAAATAAAAACGCGTCGCCGGCACGAGTGCAGACATGCGCTGCTATGGTAAAACATAAATTATGATTAATTAGTAACTTCTTTTGCCTAGAATTTGATTATACTTAAAGTTCATGATAGTAGTAACGCTAAAACTTTTTTATATCTACATAAGTTCTTGATTTTAGTAGCATCTAAAAAATTATGATCAATTAGTAACATCTTCTGCCTAGACTTTTATTCTATTTAATTAAAGTTCATGATATTAATAACGCTTACTTTTTTTATTTATACACGATTACGATTTAAATGATGAGTTGATAACACAGTGCAATGATCATTAAATCCACGACAGAAAACTTTATGTCGGTACAGTAAAATTATTTATAGTGACAAGGCCTGTGATGTGAGTAATTATTTTGATCGCTTTAAATATTTACTTCCTAAAGATAGCCACTTATTGGTGAGCCAATTTTCGCATTTGAAGTTGGCACGCATTTCTACAAGGAGCCTTTTTTTCTAGCAACTAATTTTCAATAAAATATGGTTCCCCTAGGTTCCCCTGGAAATAACTGTTAGAAATAAGGTTCCCCTTAGAATATTTTCACTGGGAACCTTATTTCTAACAGTTATTTCCAGGGGAACCTAAGGGAACCATATTTTATTGAGAATTAGTTGCTATAAAAAAGGCTCCCAGTAGAAATAGTGCAATAAAATAAGTTCCCATAGGTTACCCTGGAAATAACTGTTAGAAATAAGGTTCCAAGTGAAGATATTATAGTGGATATTTAGCTATAAGAAGAAGGAACATTGATCAAGGAAATAAAGGCCTTTGTATCTAAAAAAGGCCTCTGTAAGGGGCCTATTATATTCGATGTTCTCCCCTCAGCATACATATTATTATACAGAGAAATCGTTATATGCTTGTATCCTTAATGCCTAAAGTCCTCTGTATAAGAAGATGGAACATTGATCAAGGAAATAACGCCGGGCAAATAAATATGAGAGCTCTTGAAATAATTATTATAATCAACGGATTATGATGCGACCGGATAATAATGTTACAGAAAATAAAAGTACCTGAAAACATGATAAAACTCCAGAAACTACTAACAATTTTCATATTTACGGCTACTCACCATGAATATTCCAGGCGATGTCATTGTGTATGTCCTGAGTTTACTGACAAAATATATCCTTCGAAAAATGTCTAGAAGAGACAAATTGACGATATATAATAAGTTTAAAAGCACAGATTTTTGTAGCGTAAAACGATGATTGCGTACATTTTTGCAGGGTATAATGTTTGATAAAATTGTGATAAAGAGAAATACGGAAACAAATTTGTTAATAAATGTGTCCATAGTTAAGGATATTTGAGCGATGCCGGAGTTATCGCGTAGATATCCTAAACTTTATTATAACATCACAGCAACTTCTCATTAAATCTACTGGGGCTTCATCACGTAAACTCAGAAATTGACGTTCTTATCCAAAATTAAAAATTAACATATAAGTTTTAGGTGAGAATTTGTTGTTCTGAAATTAAAAATTATTACGGAATCCAAGGTTTCAGTTACAATTAAGTATACCGAGCAGCGTTTCTAGAGAAACGAAAATTCGACCGCTTCTAGGAATATTCTTAAATATTAACTGTTTTATGAAGATCGATAAATGTTAACTGATTTTCAACAGAGAGGGAAGAACGAGTATAAAGAAACCATTCTGAAGAGCCGCGGATTCAACAATATGAAACATGTGTTGAATGAGTTCAACAATATGAAACATGTGTTGAATGAGTTCAACATCAGGAGGTTATTTACCCCAAGTTTAGGAGTCTCTGGGGGTGGAGAAAAAGCCAAGCCCCGTAACATGGGGGAGAAGCTGTTCTAAATTCGGCAATGGGTCCTCCTCAGACGTTGGGGGAAATGTGGGGTTTGCAAGTGGTGGGGGGAGGGAAGGTGGAGTTTGGAGGTAGGGGTGGGGTGAGTGTAAGTGGGAGAACACACGGCTACCTCCTCTTCAATATTTTTTCTATTTTTTTTTCTATTTCTACCGCCTCTTCATTTTCAATATCTTACAGAGTTGAAAAATCTTCTAACCAAGAATTTCATACCAGAAGTTAAAAATATTTGTGCACCCACATATCTAAAAAATATAACTCGGTACTCACTACAATGAGTGACAAAGAGCGCATTTTCTCGTCGACGAAAACGTGGAGTCACGGACGGACGGACAGACGGACGAACATGATGAGCACAATAGAGCATCTTTCCATAAATGAGAAAATGCGCTAAAGAGTTTACTCATTCCCGAATTGTTATTGCCTTAGCCTTCTCTCTCTTTCGACTTCCGAACGAATTGCTTTCGACGTGAATTCCTTTCCACTCTTAACTATATTACATAACTCCGCTATCGCTTCATAATATTTACCAGCCATTTCCTCTATTTTCACATTCGCTTCTTCTTAATTACATATTCTTCAGGCCACGTAATCGTTCAGTTAATAAAGAGATTTCCTGATTAACAGTATACAACTTATTCCGTAAATAAGTCATTTCATAGTTACTGACTTAATAGATTAATATAGAAATTTATCCTCATCCCCACACACCAACTTCTCTCAGACAACCATCGCATAAACATTATTTATAACCTTTTTTTCGTTGTATCATCACTATTAATGTAATACGCATCCCGTTTCATACATTTACCTCCATAAAAACATTCCTACGTATAATCCATCACTCCAAATCTTAACCTCATCAACCCCTTCCCTTTCCTTCATCACATCAGGCTCCCATATTCCCCAAATAAATCCCGGTTTTAAACCCCTCACCCCTCCTTCCCCATCTCAGACCCCCAATATTCCCCAAATAAATCCCGGTTTTAAACCCCTCACCCCTCCTTCCTCCCTCGGGGCCGAGGGTACGAGGGTGAGTGCCCCAAAATTAAACCCGAGCTTTGGCTCGCCGGGAGCGGGGAGCTGCCAAGAGGCCAGACGCCCTGACAGCGCTTGACAAGTGTTCAGCTAAGAGCGCTTTTGGACGAACGCTTTTTTATGCTTCACTTATAATAAGACATGAACACACGCTGAGCGCGCCCCCATCCTTTGCTCTCCATCTCCGGCCTCCGTCTCTTGCCTTCTGTCTTCTGTCTCCATCCTTTGCTCTCATCTTCTGCCTCCATCTATCCTTTTAATTTCCTGTCCTTCCCTTGCCTTTCTTTCATTTCTTTTCTTTGTCCTTCCCTTGCCTTTCTTTCATTTCTTTTCTTTCCCTTTCCCTTCATTTCCCTTTCCCTTTCATTTCTTGTCCTTCACTTGCCTCCATCTTTCCCTTTCACTTCTAGAACTTCTCTTGCTTCCATCTCCTGCCCCGTCTTCTACCTCCATTTATATTTTTCGGTTTAAATAGATAATAATTCTTTTCTTAACTACAAAGGGTTGATGACAGTGAAAATTAGTGCCGAAATATTAAGAGACAGAACGTTAAAATTAAGAGACAGGCTTTTTTCACTGTACCGCTTAGTATTTCATTTAGTACCTTTGCTTTAAAAAACATGTTTTTTTTTGTACATCCAGGTGTATTTTCGGACAATTTTATAGAAAAAGTCTCAACGTCAGTTGTACATATAATCTTTCCGTGTAGAAAAAGTTTGTTTCAAAAATCACCCCAGCCAGAATCCCAATGGAAAAAAGTATTCGTTTTTTATGGCAAGACAAAACTGCATATCTCTTTGGATTTACAATGCAACGTATACAATATTACAACTGCACCTCTACCGCGATTAGTAGACACAATTTAACGGAAAATTAACCGTTAAAAAGTTTATTGTCACGAAGAAACCTCACTATGGCATTTGTGTCAGTGCAATTAATCTGAAGAAATTTGTCCAATTATGTTTTAATTCATCAAACAAATGTAATTTTTATGGCATGCTTACGAAATATTCAGGCAACTGGCGTAATGGGAATGTTCGGAAAAAATCTTCCATAACCGCCATGTCTTATTGCTAGAAATAATCGTTTTAATTAAAAAGAAGAATGCCACAAATTTGGGCACTTTATATAGGAAGTAGAAGTAACTATTTATCAACACAACAAATTGAGTGGTATTTACACTAAAAAATATAACCCAGTACTCACTGAAGTGAGTGACAGAGAGCGTATTTTCTCGTCGACGAAAACGTGAAGAAGTCACGGACGGACAGACGGACGGACATGACGGGTACCAGTAGTGCATTTTTTCCGTAAATGAGAAAATGCGCTAAAAAGGATTAAAAGTACTGGACTGACTAATACTGTGTGAATATCTTTATTCCAGAGTTAGATTTCGAAAAAACCGTCAAAGTGTAAAATATCGTCATGAATAAAGAAATCAAGTTTTAAAATGTCACAAAAAACTAATTAGAGCGTAAAATGTTATCTTACAGAAAGAATTTTGAATGTAAAATCTCAGCGTTAGAGAATACTCTTGAGTATAAAAGGAAAGGTTGAAAAATGTAAGGGAAAATTTAAATACAAATTTTAGCGTTGAGAACAACGTCTGAGCATTAAATTTTAGCTGCGAAAGAAAGGTCCCGACGTAAAATCTTAGCGGCGAAGAATGCGTCCGGACTCAAAATCCTAGCGTCAAAAAAGAGGTTCGCTCGTAAAATATCAGCGTTCAAGAAAGCGCTAGACGCACGGACCTATATTCTTAGCGTCTGGGCATACAATCTTGGCGTCTGGGCATACAATCTTAGCGTCTGGGCGTACAATCTTAGCGTCTGGGCATACAATCTTAACGCTAAAGTAGACGTCTGGGCGTACAATCTTAGCGCTGTCTCTTATACACATCTAGATGTGTATAAGAGACAGGTTGTTAAGCGCTGCGAGATGCANTCTTCAGAAGGAGCGTTCACTTTACTCTCATCAACGAGAAGCAAAATAAACACACGCATAAACTGATTTGTGAACAAGCGCAGGATGGGAACCGCTGGACTGAGATGCTGAAAGCCTGAGGGTTCACATGCCAACGGCCACCAGGGTTTTATTTGCGGAAGACTGCAATCGCTGATATCTTAGAGTCAGACTTTGATTCAAGACAACGATGTTTACTACAATATTGGGTTGGTATATGGCTGGATACCCTTAGTAGGGGGGGGTGGTCGGTAGTTAAAGTTGTATTGATGAAATTATTTGAATTTTTATCGAATGTTGCGCGATATATAAGAGATGTGTATAAGAGACAGATATAATATAATATAATATAATATAATATAATATAATATAAACTAATACATACATCCTGTCTCTTATACACATCTCCTGCACGGTGTGGCCGAGAAGGCCGGCGAAGGCAGGATACTCGGCCATGTGTACGCAAGTGTCAGTTACAGGAGGCGGTTTTTGCGGTCGCTTGCGAGATGTGGCAGGAGATGTAGACGTGGTGAGCATTGGGCGCCAATGTGAAACAATGCAATGTAGAAATGAAGAAAGGAATGTGAAAAAATTAAGAAAGAAATCAAAGAATGTAATACAATAAATTAAGAATGTAAAACAATGGAATGTAAAAATTAATAGGGGAATGTAAAAAATGAAGAAATCAAAGAATGTAATATAATAAATTAGGAATGTAAAGCAATGGAATGTAAAATGAAGAAAGGAATGTAAAAAAGGAGGGAAAGGCAAACGAAAGGAATGTAAAACAATGAAGAAAGAATGTAATACCATAAATTGAGAATGTAAAACAATGGAATGTAAAATAAAGAAGGGAATGTGAAAAGAGGGAATATAAAACAATGAAGAACAATGAGTAAAAAATTCAACTCGACAAATGAATGAAGTTTAAGTAATGATACCAAGTGAAGTAAGTATAGTGATACTAAAAGAAGTAAGTAATGATCCCACATAAAGTAAGTAGTGATACAAAGTTAAGTAAGTAATGATAAATGATACCAAATGAAGTAAGAAATGATATCAAATGAAGTAAGTAATAATACCAAATGAAAGAAGTAATGATACCAAATGAAGTAAGTAATGATACCAAATGAAGTACATAATGAGACCAAATTAAGTAAGTAATGATATCAAATGAAGTAAGAAATCATACCAAATGAAAGAAGTAATGATACCAAATGAAAGGAGTAATGATACCAAATGAAAAAGTAATGATACCAAATGAAGTAAGTAATGATACCAAATGAAGTAAGTAATGATACCAAATGAAGTAAGTACTGATACCAAATGAAGTTAGTAATGATGCCAAATGAAGTTAGTAATGATACCAAATGAAGTAAGTAATGATACCAAATGAAGTAAGTACTGATACCAAATGAAGTAAGTAATGAAACCAAATGAAGTAAGTAATGATACCAAATGAAGTTAGTAATGAAACCAAATGAAGTAAGTAATGATACCAAATGAAAAAAGTAATGCTACCATGAAGATAATGGTCTCAAATGAGGTCAGTAAGTCAAGTGAGAATTTAGAAGCAAGGAAAACGCCAAGTCATTTCACAATATCTTCAATAATCTTAAAATAAATGATGATCGCTTTTCCTTCACAGGTTTTTTTGGTAATGATGGTGAAACTGGTTGCCGAAACGTTATCATGGAAATATGGCGAATTTTCTCGGCGTTATCTTAGGTTTAAAATTCTTGTGAATTTCCGATGTAATTAAACTAATGATATAAGTACTTTTGGTGAATAATTTTTGCCGTATTGAATAAAAAACTTTATTAAACAGTAACTTGTTTAGGATTGTAAAGAAATGATGAGTTAAATCGACAAGAAACGTTAAGCAAATCATAGTAATTATTGTATCAATACATGCATTTTGTAAATGAATCATAACCATCATTGGTCGCAGATTATGACAAGTAATATCGACAATGATGGAAAGAACAACCATTGTATTCACCAGCACAGCCACAGCTGATATTATTTATGGCAGACGACTTGCCAGCACCATCATGAACATTGAGGTGAACACCAGAGCAAACACCACAACGAACACCACCACGAACACCACAGCAAACACCTCGAACACCACCTCGAATACCACCACGAACAACATCGAACACCACAGCAAACACCACAACGAACACCACTTCGAACACCACCTCGAACAACACCTCCATGCAACACCATCTCAAACACCACCACGAATACCTCCTCGAACACCACCTCCAACACCACCTCGAACACCACCTCGGACACCACCTCGAACACCACCTCGAACACCACCTCGAACACCACCTCGAACACCACCTCGAACACCACCTCGAACACCTCCTCGAACACCACCTCGAACACCTCCACCTCCGCTGCCAAGAATGCAAGAAGCGACATTCGCAGAGGCGAGCGACTCACTGATTCTCTCCAGCTGCTCAGATGCTGATTATATTATTATATTTCAATAAGATTTTAAGATAGTTATATATTTCAGCAACCAATATATCTGCGCTACCATTAAACCCATATCAGAATAATAAAATATTACGTGTACGCTGATATCGTTATTTAGATCGTAATTCGCCTGGCATTCATGCAGAGTTCATAATTAGTCTCTGATTGTATTCACTTCTAATTCACGTATCAATTTTTTAAACGCCGAAACACGGAGCAGAGCAAGAAGCTGAGAAGCAGCAATTGGAACATAAACAGAGAAACATGAAGCAGAGTAAGCGAAGCAGTAATTGGAACATAAACAGAGAAACATGAAGCAGAATAAGAGAAACAGAGAAGCAGTAATTGGAACATAAACGGCGAAACGTGAAGCAGTGTAACAGAAGCAGAGAAGCAGGATGTGGAAAGCCTCTCCGTCCCCACGAGGTGCGTTCTTGTTCATCAAGAAAATCCGACACCGGACGAATTGCGCTGAAAAACGGAAGTGCGGCGCACGAACTGAGAGCGAACGCCGGAATTTTTCGTGTGTTTGGTTTCAAATTTCCTTTTTATGAAAAAAACAAAATTTGATTTACACGCTGGTCACTGGTTTCTCTCCGGGAAAGACATCGAAGAATTTAACTTTACTATTACGATGTAGTTTAAAAAATGCACCTGCATGGATTACCTAGTTGATGAGTATTTTCCATGAATCAAAATTTAAACTCAATTCTAGTAGAAGATGATTTTTAGAGAATTTCTTATATCAAACAAATAGACGTCCTTCTGAAAAGCTTCTCGGTTAACAAATCATTAAAAAACAATAGAATGAGTATTCGAAAACGAATAAGAATCATGGAGCACTTCTACATTGCGTAAAGATAATAACACGCGTCGTGTGTGTGCGAATGCTCTGCTTAGATTCACGTTGTATATTGACGACTCTAATAAACTGCGAGTGTTCAGAAATAGAGAACTTGACTCACGACTTCTATAGAGGATGCAGCTGATGTCGTCATTAAATATTAGCTCTCGTATTAACCATTCAAATTTCCGGCTATACACTTATATAACATTGAGATGTCATCCTCCAAATTTATTTGAAACACAATAACGACCTTCCAGAATTTATATATAACGGAAGAGAAATTATTTATCGTTTTATGGTACGGCCATAAATTCAAAAGTTTATTTTCGTATCACAAATTACCATGAATAAATTGCATGTAAAACCAAAAGAGCATGATCTTTAGAGTGCCATTTGATTATGAAATGCATCATTCAATTCATGAAGAGATATGAATGATGAATGAAGAGAATCTTTCTACATTACTATACGACTAACTTGCTACATTAATCTACGATTCACTTCCTACATTAATATACGATTCACTTCCTACATTATTATATGATTAACTTCCTACATTAATATACGATTAACTTCCTACATTGAGCTACGATTAACTTCCTACATTGAGCTACGATTCACTTCCTACAATAATATACGATTAACTTCCTACATTGAGCTACGATTCACTTCCTACATTGAGCTACGATTAACTTCCTACANCCCATAAAATCCAGCAAAATAATGACCGTGAATTGGGGGCATCAAATTCATACGTTCATATAAGTCATGATGCATTACCGTTACTCTGAACTATCTTGATTTAAAAAGTGTAAAGCATTGATAATTAATAAATTAATAATTGATAATGTAATAATTGACGGTCATAATTAAAATGTTGCTGAATAGACTATGAAAAATAAACATTATGAAAAGCCGAAAGGTCCCCGATAAATATATTATAAAACAGCATTTAAATTATGTAAAGATAATTCATTGTTATATTTATTGATAAGAAATATTTATTCGTTTAAACTGGATGTCGGTAGCGGTTTCCTGGCTTATAGTAAAGAGCGCCCGTAGCTACTCAACGTCACCGATAAATCAAATGAAATTCACCATCAAATTTTTAATAGGGCAGAGTTCCTCGTGCAGTTTAACCTTGTTAAATAATTCCTTTTGCCACTTTCTATTGTCAACACTAATATATTATACTTATTATAATTTATTTATTTTACGATACATTATTACTCAATGATTATTGTTAACTAAAATGCATGAGAGTTTTCCTATCTTGTTGTTAGTCCCGATAAACTGACAAGTTACCCCACACTTGGGGTAAATTACCAGGAGGTTATTTACCCCAAGTTTAGGAGTCTCTGGGGGTGGAGAAAAAGCCAAGCCCCGTAACATGGGGGAGAAGCTGTTCTAAATTCGGCAATTGAAGTCACGGACGGACAGACAAACGGACGGACATGATGAGCACAATAGAGGATTTTTTCTATAAATGAGAAAATGCGTTAACGAGTTTACTCTTTCCCGAATTGTTATTGCTTACACCTTCTCTTTCTTCCGACTTCCGAACGAATTGCTTTCGACGTGAATTCCTTTCCACTCTTCACCACATTTCCATACCTCCAATATCGCTTCATAATATTAAACTACCATTTCCTCTATTTTCACATTCGCTTCTGCTTAATTACAGATTCTTCAGGCCACGTAATCGTACAGTTAATCAGAGATTTCCTGATTAACCGTGCGTCAGTTATTACCGTAAACAAGTCAATTCATAGTGACATCATTAATTTTAAAATTCATCTTCATCCCCACACATCATCTTCTCTCAGGAAGCCATCGCATTAACCATCTTTATAAACTTTTTTTCGTTGCAGCATCACTATTAATATAATCCACATCCCGTTTCTTACATCTACCTCCCTGAAAACATTCATACGTATATAATCCATCACTCCAAATCCCAACCTCATCACACCCTTTCCCCCCCCCCTCCATCACCCCAGACCCCCAATATTCCCCAAATAAATCCCAGTTTTAAACTCCCTAACCCCTACTTCCCCATCCCAGACCCCCAATATTCCCCAAATAAATCCCGGTTTTAAACCCCTCACCCCTCCTTCCCCATCCCAGACCCCCATATTCCCCAAATAGACCGCAGGTTTGAACCCCGCGGCACGCGGGGTGAATGAACTCCCGAGCCAAG